TCCGGGTGGTACCCAGGCATGCAGCCAGCCCTGTCCCACACTTTGCATGCACCGTCTGCTCTTCCTCCTGATTCAGAGCATCCTTTCCTCTCCCAGGTGTGTTTTGAGCAGAGACCCTGACATGCAAAATTGCAGGGTCTCTGGCAGGATGTGCCCCAGGGGAATCTGGTCTCTGTAGGGGGAAGCCCCGAGCTGGGGGCTCTGACCAACACGCTGCCCGGCTGCTCCCTGTAAGGCAAAACTTCTCCTGTGAACCTCTGACTGCTCTGATTTACTCTGTGCCGTTGCAGGGAAGCTAGAGGGAGGCTTGGTGTGAATGAGCCGGCTTCCTCCTCTAGCCTGAAATTTGGGTCACGCAAACCAGCATAGCAGAGCTGTGATAGATGTAGTTCATCCTCAGTTCAAGCCCAAGCAAGCTTTGATTTCCAAGGTGCAACAGTTGATGGTTCAGAGGGTCTATCTGAGCCGCTGTTTCATTAGCGCATCGGCACATGGGAAGAGGTGAGAGGGGTTTTTCCCCTCCCCGATCAGCTCCCACATTGCTAATGTTCCTCTGTGGCCCGCTGCTAATTTTGACGCTGCCCTAAATAGAAGCTGAGTGCATCTCATCTGCTTCGCTTAGCATACAGGAAAATTGTTTTCCTTCATTTACTGAATCCAACTTGTGGCTTTAACCCTGTCAGCACAAGTCTCTCCCCATTGCAGACCTCCTTTGAAGGGCTTTGCGTCCCTCTGCCCCGGTGAAGAGCTCTCTGATGGGAACGGCACTGCACGTGGTGGGAGAGGGAGGGCTCCAGGATGGCCACCGGCAGAGCTGGGCGAGGGGCTTGGCTTTGAGAACAGCCCAGGAGACCCCTTTCTCCACTGAAAGGTCTGTTGCTCTGGGCCGGCTCTCCCTGTGCTCGCTCCATCTCTCCGGCGGGATGTGCTGCTCCCCAGGAGCGACCCAGTGCCCCTTCCCAGACTGGCCTTTCCCAACCCCGTGCTGGAAAATAGCTCAGCGCAGGCAGACCCAGTTGTAGGAGTTTTTGGTTGGTTTCTGTTGTGGTATTTTTTCCAGCATGTGGTGGGACCAGCTGAGCACGCAGGGACCCTTCCTGAGCCTGGCAAATGCCCCTCTTATCGCTGTCTGCTTTCATCTCCCGTTCTGAGCGGCTCCTGGGCA